ATGCGGAATCGGCTTCGCTGGGCTCATTCGCATCTGCTGATTTATGTCTTCAAGCACTGTTTCTCCATTTGCCCCTCCTCGTTTCACCATCTCGAACGGGTAAGCAATTCGCTTCTTCTGACCCTCTGGAATCCATAACACATCAAAACCAAGCTGCAAAATGAACCATTGCACTTCGAAAGAAGCTGTGTGGAAGGAAAAAAAGTGAACCATTGTACTTCGAAAGAAGCTGTGTGGAAGAAAAAAAAGTTAATGAAGCAGAGAGTTAATGACTGAGTTAGTCATGTCCCTTTTGTGTTTGAAGAAAAGTGTGTGTGTAATACTTGAAACTGAAGTATCGTTTTCGTCTGATTTTATAGATGCCTTAATCTTCTCAGGATTATCTTCCTGTGTTGAAGCTGCATGCGTGTCTTTTGGTGATGATGATTGGCTCCCAGTGCTGAATTTTTCATTTCTGGAATGGTGTAATCTGCAGGTGGGACTGAAGTATGTAATTATCAGTTACTGACTGCGATAGTACCAAAAGCAACGGTAGTGGGCAGTGTACTGTCATTATCCTTGCAACCCGAATGAGTAACATACTGATGGGTTAATATTCAAATGCTTGGTTGAAAACTTACTTCGAATAATAGACTCTACTGCTAGGACAAATCTTACTTAAGTATTTTAGGCAGTTTTTGATTTATCTACGATTTTGTTTAATAAATATAAAACGGGTGAACGATTTTTATTGCTCAGCATTAACATCCTCCTGTTGACTCAACAAAAGAATCCACTTGTCATGCTTTTATTAAAAATCCCGATGACAAATGCCAAAAAAAATTGCGTCTAACTTTTATCTTTTATCTGATTAATAAGCTTAATGGCTACAAAAATCCTGCCCATCACCTGGAGCACAGGATCAGAGAATAGGAAGGAATAGGATAATAAACATTGAGATGGAGTTAGAGAAGGTGTGCATGCATTGGCCAAAAGAAAAACAAAAGAAGAGAAATGAAGCATGGCTTACCATCAACCAGGCGTTGGGTTCTTGTGGAAGAACATGGTGGAAATATATCTATCTGGTCTGCCAGACAATGGGTTTCCTTTCATAGAAAAACATAATTAGAGTTTCAAGAACTTGACAACTAGTGATTGTTGAAGGGAACATGAAACGTGTCTATAATTATAAATTGACCTTTTGATCCTGAGACAGAGAGTACAATGGTAAATTTTGTTGCTTGTACCAAACACTCCAGCCTGCAATAACATCTTCAAGGTACCCAGTAGATCTATCAGATGAAAACCAGGACTCTGCTTCAGCAACAAGATAAAGAGAGGGTAAAAACAGTAAAATGTCAGCTAGTGGTATGCATGCAAACAAGTTAAAGCTAGAAAAGTAGAAATCAAAGAGGAAGGGGAACTGAAAACATAACGTATGTACCAAGAGGTGTATCTGAACTAGTGACTCCAATCTCCAAGTCCATGGAGGCAAGAGAGTGAGAACACAAGCTGTGTTGGGTATGAATTATGACATAGAAGAAAGCCCTTTTTATATGTAGGGTTGAAGACTCACTTATGAACAATAGCTATTTTTATCTGTTGTTTCACTTTATGGCTTAAGGAATATGCTGCAATGGACCCTTCTAAAATCCTGATGTTACCTACCTACCTAATTGACATTAATTAAAGCGTTCATTATTGATTATGCAATGTGAGTAGAAGTTGATTTAAATTTTTGTCTAGGTGCACTGGGGAAGGTTTTTTATTCTTTCGGGAAATGAAAACAGGCTCTTTTGTTCTCTTCTCAAAACATGCATTATTATCCAGAGGGATGCTAGTACAAGACAAGAATGACATGATTAGGTTAAAGGATATCTCACTCTGATGGTCTCTGTGAGACTCATGTCTCTTTGTCTGTGTCTCTATTTGATCGCAGAGAGAGAGAAAGCTACAGCAAGAAAGACAGGGGTCTTGTTTTATCTTTGATTTTTCTTTTTCTCCTTTTTTGTTTTAAGCATTTCATGGATATAAAACATTTGGGACATTTTATCTTTATAAAACCAGAAAGAAGTTTAAGCCAGAAGGCAATTATTGTTTGCAATTGGCTACATGATGTTGAATATAATCATAACAACTAACGAAAGTGGACAGTAGATGGTTATTCTAAATTTAAATAAGCTTTTCTTTTTCTTATATATTTTTCTTCCATGGTAAATATTCAAAGCATGAATATCTTTTCCTCATGGGTTATATTTCATTTTCTATGATACTTTTCTTTATGCTCTTGTCCTCTGCTAGACAAGGACAAAAGGAGAAGATACCCAGTACTTTAACTTTTCTAGCTCATCATACTTCAACCTTGATTTCTGTGAGCTTCCTTTACCGTTTTGTTTGTTTTACCCATTAAATTAGTAGCTACGCTAGTAAGAAAAAGTAAAAACCATTGTCTTTCCTGATGACCTATCTCACACAATGAATATCTTTGCTTATGAAGGAATTAAGTTTGAGCTAACATGAATAGTCTCTTGGCATCAACTTGACTCTGACGACAATGACAAATGGAAACCCAAAAAACAAAAATAGAATAAGTAGCTGAGGGAGTTAATATCAATTTAAAACTTTGGCAGACTCTACATCAATGAACAAAGAAGCACTAATTGTTGTTTGATTGGCTATTATTCTCTTTCCTTCTTTTACTTTTAATTTTGCCTCTTTAATAATTAGAAAATAATATGAATAAATGTTTGCCAAATATTTCAGCCACCCTATGATTACTTTGTTACTTCAGCCTTGCCTATATGAGAAGACATAAAGCCAGAAATTTTGTCCTAAACATCCCCCGGCCCCCCCCCGGGGGGTGAATTTTCTCTGTAGAACGACTCGAAGCATATTAAGCGTTTTTCTCAGACAGCATCTGAGTTTAAACATTTTCAATGAAATAAAATACAGAATGAAAATAACTTTTAATTGTTGACATTAAAGAAACGAGTATAAAAATTAGAAATTAAATTAAAATTTAACACAAATGGAGTGCTTCTTTGTTTCTGTCTAAATCACGTGGTTTCCTGTTTGTGGCAGAAGAAGGACTTGGTCCATGAAGCATCATATACTCTGTGTCTCTTTTATACAGCACTAACTTGAGGCCACGGAAGGGAAGCAGTGCTTGTGAAGTACCACCATGGAGTTTGTTGTTCATGAAGCTGTCAGAAATAATTATCTATCTCTGAAAGTAAAGTAGAAATTAAAAAGAGAAATCCCAATTACAAGAGCCTTTCTGCTTTTTTTTTTTTTTTTTACTGAACACTAGAAAACCAGACCCTACAAATATTTGCTATCATTTACATAGACGAAGGGTTTATGTCGTTTTTTTGGGGTTAATTTTACGTAAACTAAGCAAAATTACGGCTGGCATTTTTGTTTTTGTTTTTTTTGTTTTAGCAGATCAAAAACATACATCACAATAGGCTTGCTTTAACATCGCAAGCTTTGAAGGAAGAAGGAATGTGCATTAGGGATTAAAAGGAAAGAAAACGAGTCCAATATAATTAGCCAAAAAGTAACAAAAGAATCCAAAAATGAATTTCATGGGAATATAATGCGTCTTTATGAGGGACAGGTCCATATTCACTTTGTCCAAAAAAAATCTTGCAATGTAACACACGAAAAATGTAATATGATTTTATTTAATTTGAAACCCTTCCTATTATATATCTAAGGCTGGAGCCTTATAAGTTACTACCCTCCGGTCTTAATATAAGACCTTGTCTGATTTTTATTTTAGTCCTAAATATAAGACCACAATCTACTTTGTCTTTCATATTTATACATTTTTTTCCAAAGTAGCCTTCTAAAAATGATAGCTCTAGTCAATACACTTGATTAGTAAGGATATTTTAAGAAAAACAACACATTTAGGACAAATAACTAACTCAACTTATTTCTTAATCTCCTCAAATTAATCAACTGGCTCTTATAATTAGGACCGGAGGTATTATAACATAACTCATGGTACGGAAAAACATACGTTAATTCAATTGATTAAGGACTTATTTAGGATGGTAATTGGAGTTTTTAAAAGTAACTTTTCAATTATAATTTACATTGAAATAAGTATGGAGAAAAATTCTTTCTTTCAATTTTTGAAGTGTCCTTGACTTCCATGAACGTACTTATAATGAGTAGCTAGTAAATTGTTTCTTATAAATATGAACAGAGGGAGAATAATATATAGTTCATGAAAAAGAACTGCAAAAAGAAATTATGCTCACCTGAGTTTTTCAGTTAGTTTTGGTCTTAAACACTACCTTATAAAGCATTTTATAATCTAATTAATAATATTCTTAATCTACCTCAAAATTGAATCATAATTTTGCAGTATAATCTCAACTTCTGTTAACGTGATTGGCAAGACATTCAACTTAGATTAACGCGATCAGTAAGAACTTTCACACAAGTTTTACAAGTAGGACTCTTATAAATATAATTTAAACAAATAGTTAATTATGAAATCAACTTTTAACCATCATATATTAAAAAACTCAATTTATATGAGGGTCTACATCGTATTCTCAGCATTTTGACAGATATTAATTTTTTTAATCATTGGTATCTTTGTGCGTAGCAAGTAGTTATTATTTTATATGACGTATTTTTTCTTGGGTACAAAACTAGAATCCTCTTTGATCATGAGCATCTCTTGACAGGTATAGGCATTAGCTAGTTTATTATCTGTGGATTTCTACGTTAGAAAGTTGTTGTTTAGCTGTATCGCATCAGCCGAATAGTTCGCAGTTGTCTGCTCAAAGTTCCCGGTTTCCTGTTCCCACCATGTTTAACAGTTAAGAGCTTGTTCATATTAACAGCGGTAAAAATGACTTTTATATCAGTGAATTTTTGCAAACTGAAATTGAGAAAAAAATGTCTTGTATACACACACACACACATGTATATATAGAGAGGGGGAGAGAGAATTTAAAACCCCCTCCCCCACAAGGGAGCCGATTAAGCGACAAGTTCTTTGACACCGTTCCAAACATGCCCTCACTCTTATCTTTAAGGAATAAAATTGACTATACACAGCTCATCATATTCCACAAAAATTCTTTTTTTTTCCACTATTCTTTATCCATCTTTTCAACTGCATAGCACCAAAATATTCTCCGACCCAGAGGATTTCGAAACCAGCCGCAAAGTCGCCAAACAACTCAATACAGAATAAACATAAAAGCAAATAAATACCATTATAAAAGAAACACAAGACCTGGGAACTTGTTAAGATCAGCATCGATGGCAAAGACACGTACCGTTGGTGTAGCTGTGGACTTCTCTCCGACCAGCAAATCAGCCCTCAAATGGGCTCTCCATAATCTCACCGACAAAGGGGATCGCCTCATCCTCATCAACGTTCAGCCTTCCCACTCTGATCACACTAGGAAAGACCTTTTCCACGACACTGGTTCACGTATATACGTCTCTCTTGTCCATTCATGCTTATATATAACTTCAGTTCAGGTTTTTTGATATATAAATATACAAGTATGTATATATGTATGCATGGGTCTTGCAGCTTTGGTGCCTTTGGAGGAACTGAGAGAGACCAACTTGGTGAAGCAATATGGGATTCCTAGGGACCCGGAAGTGATGGCTATCCTTGACACTGGCTCAAAAACCAGAGGGGTATATATCTGTGTGTAGATTTTGTTTGTTTGCTTATTATTGCTTGCTGTGTTATTCGGCAATTTTATTTCTCTCGTATGAATTGAAAGGTTATTTAATAGTTTATGAATTATGAAGAAGCGGTATTGGTGTGTGCTTGTGAATATGTGTAACAGGCAAAGGTAGAGGCAAAGGTATATTGGGGGGATCCAAAAGAGAAGCTGTGCAAAGCTGTTAATCAGCTACAACTTGACTCTTTGGTCGTTGGAAGTAGGGGTTTTGGTCCCATCAAAAGGCAACACACTTTCTTCTCTCTTTATATTTTAAATTATAGTACTACCTATCTCCACTCTTTATTATAAGAATTAGTTGAATCATTGGATTTAGTTTTAAATATAAAATCTCAATTTATTTTGTTTTTTATGTTTATCATTTTTTTCAAAACTAATAACTTATCACATTTATTATAATTAACTAATTTATTTGACTTAATAATCTATTCAAATTAGTTAAATAGTTTTCATACCAAAGATTGAAATTATTGATGATGATGATGATAGGGTGTTGCTAGGGAGTGTAAGCAATCATGTGGTGAGAAATGCTTCTTGCCCCGTTACAGTCATCAAGGGAAGCCCATCTGCCAAGTGTAGCCGTTGAAACTTCTATTTAGAATATCATTCTAATTTTTGCCACTCTCGTTGTGACTAATAGTGTTTGTTAAATAATGTTTCCTTTCTTTATATATATGTATGTATAAATGGTGTGAGTCTTAGCGTGTAAATATTTCTTATTTATATATTTATAATGCCAGATTGTCGCTGTTTTTACATGTTATATTGCTTCCACTCTAACTAAGACCA